TTGGAGCTGTTTTCTTCCCCTTCATGCCTAGTGCAGGGGAACAAGTGCCATCTTTTATGTCTTTGCGTTTATTGCAACTAGGGATTGAACCAGTGATCTTCCGTTCTCGGGGCACTCTATCCATTAGGTCGTAGAGGAGATGTTTGATAGCAGACAATCAGAAGGAAGACTGTGGTCGTCTGACATTTGCTCCCTCTTCATAAAGAGTCTGTATATATATCATAGTGACACCTTCATAAGTACGGTATACAAAGTCAAGGAGGCCTTGTTAGTACCCTGATGTTACAAAGTTGGAGATTAAGGTGTCCTTGAAATATATACTATGGCTGCAACTAGACTAGCTCAGGTAGCTCAGATTATCCAGGACCATGAATCATGGTGTTATTTCATATTTTAGTCATGCTCCAGGGCACATTGAAAATACATCATCCATGCAATTTCAATTCTGTGCCATGGCATGCAAACTAAGCACTATTTTGATCCTTGTGAAGTAAGGAGAAGACTGGTAAAAAACGATTTAGCCTGTACATGTTACAGGTTTTCAGTTTAAAGTTCCAGTGGACTCGGGACCCCTTTTTTGTAAAGATGTTTGGATTTGGTGAACTGTTACAGCCCAATGAGGAGGAGATATGTCTGAATGGCTGACGTTTGGAGGTTCCTGTTTCAAAGACAACAGCAGACGTCAGGGGACCCAGGAAACCCTTTATTTTATTGTAAAGATGTTTGGGCGGTGGGGTAGTCTAGTGGTTAAAGCGTTGGCTCGTCATGCCGAAGACCCGGGTTCGAATCCCCACATTGGTACAATGTGTGAAGCCCATTTCTGGTGTCCCCCGCCGTGATATTGCTGGAATATTGCTAAAAGCGGCGTAAAACCAAACTCAGTCAGTCAGTCAGTAAAGATGTTTGGATTTGGTGAACTGTTGCAGCCCAATAAGGAGGAGATATGTCTGAATGGCTGACGTTTGGAGGTTCCTGTTTCAAAGACAACAGCAGACGTCAGGGGACCCAGGACACCCTTTATTTTATTGTAAAGATGTTTGGATTTGGTGAACTGTTACAGCCCAATAAGGAGGAGATATGTCTGAATGGCTGACGTTTGGAGGTTCCTGTTTCAAAGACAACAGCAGACGTCAGGGGACCCAGGACACCCTTTATTTTATTGTAAAGATGTTTGGTTTTGGTGAACTGTTACAGCCTAATGAGGAGGATATATGTCTGAAGGACCGACCGCCCACAGAACCGACATTGGGCCGATGCTCATCCTCCTCAGCCAGCAGTGTTATTTCTCATTACAAAAACAAACAGACTTAGCGACACCTGGACAAACCCTCTACCTTCCTGACCTTTGGTCGATTGGTGTGTGTTCAGTTTGTGCTTCTGGTTTGTGTGCGTAACCTAAGATCATGATCTTTATCTACAGCAAGATCGATTTGTAATTGGTAATTGAGCTGGTTGGGAGAGGATACAGGTTGTATGGAGCCTTTGATTCTGTTCAGCTTGGAAGGGTACACTAGTACAGTGATGAAATTATTGCCGTAATGTCTGCAGTTAAACCACCTTGTGATCGTTTGAGTGCTTGCTTTTAATGTAGCTTGTGCATGTTCAATTTTCTGCCGTTATTTTAGTTCATTTTTTTTTCGAAATATTGAATGGATTCCTGTCTGTTTGATAATAGTGATGTGGTTATTGTTGTTTCTGGAGTCAGGCTGTTAGTGTGTGGATATTGATTGTTCTGTATTTTACCTTGCCTAGGCCCATTTGCTCAAAGAGAAATTAGTTTTAAAACCATCATTGTGGAATGAGGCACTTAACCCTGGCAATGTCGTAGATTTGTGTTAAGAATGGGGACCTGTGAAGATCCGGTTAGAATTGGTCTTCAGCAACCCATGCTTGTCAGTAGAAGCGACTAACGGAATTGGGTGGCAAGGGTCGCTGACTTTGTTGACATGTGTCATCGTATCCAGATTGCGTAGATCGATGCTCATGCTGATGATCACTGGATTGTCTGATCCAGACACGATTGTTTACAGACTGCTGCCATGTAGCTGGAATATTGCTGAGTGCAACAAACCAACCTACTAAGAAAACGGTTTATGATGTGATAGTTGTATTCCTAATGCTGAGAACAGTTCAGCTTGATGTTAAATGGTTTTAGGTGTATGTTAGACTTTGTGAGTTACAAAGGTCATCATGCTATGGACAGTTTGCAACCCCAGGAGAAGATTGGGAAGAAGACTTTTTCTTCCGTGGCCATGGGAGCTTCACCATAGTGGTGTTCCGATGATCGGAAATAATCGAAAATCGATCAAAAGAAGGATTAAAATTGATTATCGATTGTAAAAAAGCATATTTTCAATTAATCAGAATTTTGTTGTTTTAGTATAACACACTTATATGAAGTAAAGTAAAAATTAAATTTGACAAATATTCACGAACAAACATGCACTCAATAGCGTAAAGCTATGCACATTGTAACATTTTAACCACTTTTATTGTTTAATTACAATTCCAGTGTCTTTCTTGCATGCATGTATGTCATTGCCTGACAGTATTAGTTATAAAAAACATTCATTGAAATTGGTGATAACATTAAAAATGTATATACTTCGATTATAATCGATAATCGTTCACCACAATCCTCCGATAATCGATAGTGGAGTTGGTTTCTGATTCCCAACACTACTTCACCATATGAAAAAAATGTTAAAGATGGTCTTTTTAGTCTGGCTGGCCTGTAGAAGCAGGAACCAGAATACAGGATTCTGCATATTGTTGTTTAATGAATAAGGACTTGACTTGGTCAACTCTAGTAGAAAAAAAAAAATGGTAAAAAAGGAAATATGACAGGAACTGACAGTTTTCAAGTCAGTATACTTTCTGAAGGGGGTTACACTGTGGTCTGGTATCTCAGTGGGCTGGAACTATAAAAACATCAATCCTGACCAGCACAGATGCAGGTGTATGCTCATCACAATCAATTTCACATCATTTATTCAAGGGTCATGTAACTTTTGCAATTGCTGTACTATTGCTGCCTGATCTGTCAGACCTGGATGTGCTGACAATTTCCTTAATGTTAACCTGCAAGCAGGATACAGCTTCTTGTGACAGTTCTTTTTCAAGACCTGTCCTGAAGTGATCAAGAATAGTTTTTCCAAGAAATTGTGCAAACTCACTGGGGAAATTATGCCACTATTTGAAATCAAATAAAGAAGATTTCTATCACAGCTGTCTCCAAGCTTCTTGGGATATAAACGCACAGACAGCAATTGATTTAAATTCCTCTAATTTATCGCTGCCAATTTCTTAAATTGGGGTAAGATTTGAAGCACATGCTTACGCTAACCTTTAGGGATCACAAAGGAATGTAATTAAAATTGTCCAACACAACTGATTCCCCAGGCGGGGTCATTATTGACTGCCTCAGTTGCCAGCCTCAGTTGTCAACCTCTGATCAGACTATAAACACCACATGAGACCTCTGTGTTGGTCTCAAGGTCACAAACATAAACTTGTCAAATGTTTTGAAAAATAAAAGTCATTGAAATATCAAGGGTTCTTTGTGGTTGTGAAATATTCCCCAGGGTCACTGGTCAGGTGGTGCTCTTTGGCGACTTATGCGAAGATGTCATTGTCGTCTGCTTTTACGTCGCCAATGTCTTTACCTGTGATGGTGAAGATGTGTCACCTGCTTCAACCATGTTGCATACTTCTTGCAACAATTGACTTCTGCTTGATTGTGTCAAGCCAGCATCTTAATTTAGGACGTCAGTTGTGGTGTGGTGCCAGGTTACTACTACTGTGACACGTTCCTGAGACAAGACGACGCATCTGATGTCATCATCTTGGTAAAAAGTGCATCTTGGGAACAAAATCTCCTCCTGGTAAGGAGGACAAAAATACTTCAGGAAGTAGGAGATTTGTCTTGCCGATGAGAGCTACCATCGCGATGACGTATGAAGGAAACAAAAGATACGGAAGGGGAAATAGTGGTTTTGTGTAAATGTTGGTTCATTGTCTTTTGAGAGTTGTGTGGTTGGTAAAATGTTCAATGAAAGTTGAAGAGATTCGGTAATAGTCGAGGTGAAGATAAGTGAACTTTTGGTGTTGGGTAGACAGGATTTAAGTGAACTGAAAAAACAGATTTACATGTAACAGAGGATTTTGTCCATGGTAAATTATTAATATACCTAGGTTATTGCTTCTTTCTAGAAAATGTAAATTGGATGACAGAGGTACAGATAAGCTGCATGTCTGCCAAAATTATGCAAATATTTATGTGAAAACTCAATTCCTATTAAGTCTATTGCATACAAGTATGTTTGAATTTTTGTAAATATTCAATAATTTTTATCTTACATGCGTACACACAAAAATAGATAAAATAACAGAGGTATATTGGGAGGTTCTATTTCAGCACTGCAACTTGCAGTCTTTCTTATCGTTTCTCATATTACAGATCAAATATAAATAACAAACACGTAAACCAACATTTAAACTTTAGTATATTTTTACAACTATTGGGAAATGGCAAAATACCCAGTTTAGTTTGAGTGAGATGGGTACAATGTATTTAGTTACTCAAAGGAAAATTAGGATACCCAATTGAGATGAACACAAGCATAACTTAATGACCCAAAAACTTATCTGTAGCTCTGGATGATCTATTCAGTGTGCCTTAAAGTGAATAAAGTGCCTTGAACTTTCCTGACCAATGCTTATTTCAAGTGACGTGACATAGAAAAAGAAAATATAATCAATCGGTTTTGAAGCAATTTTGTTGTTGGTGAAATATTTTATGAATATTACCATTACTGGTATACACAATTTGCTTATATATACAGCTGAACAACATATATACAACAGTATATCCTACAACGGATGGAAACATTGGGGTTGTCATTTGTTTACTGAATAAATAATTGTTGTAATATCTGATTGTATTTATATTAATGCCTTGTCAATACAAACACAAAACAGTTTCCTTAATGCATAACTAGACTTGGTCGGCCAGGTGTTGACTGCCATTGTGTCCACGACAGTGATGCTGCCATTATCCAGATCCTTTTCCTTGTTAATGAGGTAAGTGGGACATTTCATCGTCAATGTCATAATTTTTCATCAGCCTTTTTCGCCATTAATGTATTGTGCCTAGATGACTATTTTCCACAGAACTGCAGGAATGATTTGATTTAGGTCCAACTGCCTGGTTCCTGTGAATTCAATCACCAATGTTTGATGGCCTTAATTTCCTTTTTTCTGATGGTTTTATTGCCCCAAAGGAGATAAAAAGCGAGAGAGACTTCAACCTTCGGCCACTTGTCCGGTGCTGTAAAGACCCAAGTCCTCTCTGACGTTATTTTAGAAATATTTTAATCAGTCAATTGCTTTATTGAAGCACACACTTGCCCCTTGGCTTGTAAATGAGAAAATCTCCTCCAAGGAATTAAAACTTAGGACTGACTAGAGTAAGGAGTTCTACCAAGAAGCTCCTAGTGCTGATGGAGTTCGATAGATAGAGCGTGTATAGCATGTATGTAGGAATGAATATATGAATGAATCTGTCGAGAATTCCTTAATAAGTAAAATGTTTTATGCAGAGTGTCAAGAAGATGGTGTTTGTTGATATGTATAGTGTTATACCACTTCTTGCTCTGTGTTGATATTGGTAGATACTAGTGGTGGTCCGATTAATTGAAATAATCGAAGATTGGTCGCAGTGACTAAACGACCAAGCAATCAATCATGTTTACTCATAATCGAACACAAACAATTTCGAGCACTTGTTTGCATTAACGATATTTTTCACAAGGTTTTGGTTTTGTCAGTTACATTTCATGAGCACTACAAGCTCATTCCAAGTCACGATTGAATTTATCTTAAAGACTCCAGGAAATTTGTTCCTAACATACTAGTCATCATTTAAAGATGTGAAATTTGCAAATGCATTTTGTGCAATTTGAAAAAACCCCAAGAGAACTATATGTTTTTTCTTTATTTTTTGTGCATTTACAAAGATAACCAGGAAAATTTGATAAATAATGCTAACCAATTATTTTCGATGATTGATCAGTTGTAATGAACCAATCATCAATTATGAGATTTTAACCAATTCCCAACACTAGTAGATATAGCATATATTTCATTTCATTTGTACTCATTTTTTACATCAAAAGCTGTCCTGGTGGCTGTAAGTGATTTTTCTTACTAAGCTTGATGGAATCTCCCCAAAGCATCCCATAAATTTTAGACTTAAAATTGTAACAAGGACCAATTCATTCTTTAAACGTTAAAGATGTATTCATCCCTTCAACCTTGATTTCAACACTACTGCTTTTGCACGGATGATATGTGGCCTGATGCTTGCTGATTTGGTTGACACATGTCATCATGTCCCAGTTGTGTTGATCAATGCTCATGATGTTGATCACTGGCTTGTCTGGTCCAGACTTGATTATTAACAGACCGCTCATATAGCTGGAACATTGCTGAGTGCGGCGTAAAAGTAAACTCACTCACTCACAGTGCTTGCAGTAAATCTTCATCGACGCCTTACCAATGCTTACAGTGAATCATGATCAACACCCTACCAGTGTTAAACAACGAACAAGTAGATAATTGCATGGATTGCAAGATGTCAATCAGCAGATTGTCTGATTCATTTACATGACTGAGGCAAACAAACTGGTCAGGTCGGCATCACTTGTAGACAAGGGGAGCCATTACCCATCTCATCATCTTATAGTATGCCCCTGTTGATATAAAAACGGTATAAGGCTGGTTAAATTTTTCTAACCTTCCAGCACAAGAGGACATGTACTTACATAACAAACTTGGTGGATTTGAAAAGTTAGAAGAAACATATCTTTACCATGTGTTGCAATTATGTGTTTTGACATGACCTTTTCAAACAAAAATAAAGATGGACATACACCAAGGAGTCTCATTTTTGAAGTCGAGGAATTTATAGTTGTAGGAAACAGAATCAGATGGGACAACTGCTGTTCCTCTTCTCATTACGTGTGTCCTGTTCAAGCATTCGTTTTGTGCGATGTTTAACTTTAGATCCCACGACCTATTCCCCAGAGTGAGAGTCCTCCAACAGTTCAGTCCCTAAAAGGATTTTTTTCCTTTTCCGTTAATTCTGCATAGATAACTGGGCTTAGTTAGACATGTTAGATGATTTGGTGAACTTCATTCACGTGGCTTGTCTGACAATTTGTTAGTCAAATAACTGTCGATGTGCTTGGTTTCTTCCCAAGGGTGCTCTTGTGACCGTTTGCTCAGACGACAGCCTTCACCTATGGAACTATCGGCAGAAGCGTCCGGAAATTGTACATTCTTTAAAGTTTCAAAGGGAAAGGTAAGCAAAAAGTTCCATTTGAACATTTTTTTTGTTTGTGAAGTTTTTTTTAACCTTGGAATCAAATGATGTTAGGTGTCACTTTTTTGTCTCCTTAAAAGAGTGAAAAAATTGCCTGGAGCTTCATGATTCCAGAGGAAAGGACTTTGGTGCTGATCTTTTGGCTGGGGTGGGTGGTATGTGAGAGGGGATGGTGTGTGAATTTTCCTGCAATGCTTGAAATAGAATTAATTGACCATGGTTTTAACCCCAGAGTATAAATGGTAACCGGAAAGATTTCTGCGAGACAACAGTTTTGTCAGAAAGTGAGCATCTCCTCTTCCGTTCCCTCCTTCCCACAAACACACAAACACCACAATCACCAAAAGTAAATACTTTGTGATGATTGGTCCGTTATTTTAATTCACTTTGTACTTGTGAGTAGAAATAACATGGAAACACTGTTGGAATTAAGAAAAGCTCTCACTCAACAGGATTCCTTGATCAAAGACCTGTCTTTCTGACAACGCTGTCAGTTGAAACACACCACACTGTGGAACCCTTCCCATAATCTCAGAGCTCTGACCTTGCCGATGACACCACATCTTATCAGACATGTCACAATCAAAATTCTTTATGCGTATCCATTGTTAGCTGGTAATTTGGATCCCACCAAAGTTTGAGGCAATCAACAATACATCTTGTGCTGATCAAATTTACTGTAGCAAGAAGGCAGCAGGTCGAGAGAGCTCGCCCAGGCAGCGAGACTGACTCGTACCATAAGAAGCATCTCTGCAGTTGACATGGGATAGAGAATCCTGACCGAATAGGGCCTCCAAAATAGACCGCTTCAATCCAATAAGTTCATAATTGACCAATGAGCTTTCTCTCAAATGAAAAAAATTGAAGGCCTTTAGGTCTTTGTAGTGGAGAGGACTATTCTCTATCAACGTGAAGGTAACAAGGTTACCTCTGTGAGTGGTGAGGAGTTACGGCTTAGAAACGGGAGTCTCCTCCGATCAGTGTTAAACTCCATACAGCAATGACAGGGAGGGAGAGCTTGCATCGCCAGCTACTTTTGTTGTGGTGGGATTTTTGCTGTCATGGTTTTAGTTTGTTTTTGTGTATTAATTTTAGTTTTTTGGGCAGTAATCGAAGATATTTTATCATGAATTTAAATTGAATGATTTTCTTTGATGTATATTGAATATAGACATATTAATTAGTTGTGTGTAAATAAATAGTACAATGGCTCTGAAATCTTCATTTTTGCATGAGCGGATGAAATGAGTATTTGTGCAAGTTTGTGTGTTGAACCGCTAGCTTGATGCCCCAGTCAAGTTACAGTTCTGTTGGGTTAGTTACTTATCTGTAGTACTATGATACTACTGAAAGCCTACTTCATGACCCTGGGTTATGTGCTGTTGAAGTTAAGGTTTTTACCCTTTGAGAAAAGAAACAATGCAGACATTTACAGACACACTTGTACTCAAACTGTTGTTATAGTGTTTGAAACACTTGTAAGGTCAGGATGTGTTGACCTATAAATTATACTTTTGTGGGATTTTATACCCCAGCAATGTGAAGCAAAATCCCAATCTCTGTCTCGGTCCCATTCTCAATCCCAATCTCTTTCTCAGTCTGAATATTCAGTTCTGTTCTCAGTCCCAATCTCAATCCTGATCTCTATCTGGTATCTCATTCTCAATCCCATTCTCAACCTCAATCTCAATCTAAATTTCAGTGATAATCCTGTCTCAATCCCAATCCCAATCCCAATAATACCAATCCTAATCTCAGTCTCAGTCTCAATCCCAATCCCAATCCCAATCCCAATCTCAATACCAATCCTAATCTCAGTCTCAGTCTCAATCCCAATCTCAATCATTATCTCAATCCCAATCTCAATGCCAATCCCAATCACCAAATCCACCATGGTTTTCCCCGATCCACAGCTAAAGGACAACAATGTCAATCGGAATCTAATCTTTATCAGAATCCAATCCCACTCCATGGTGTGCCTCCTTCAGAGTAGGACAGAGGTTAAAGTGTTCACTTGTCATGCCCCACATTCAGGTTTGATTCCCCCTCACAATATGTGAAGCCCTTTCTTGGGAATACCTCCATGATCATTGATGACATTGCTGGATTACTGCCAATAGCAGTACACTCGTATTCATGCATGCTGTCCAGAGCTGAACTCCAAAGCCGGGTTAATCACTCTCTCTAGTTATGTGCTTGCAGATCTGTTTTGTCATGTTGTTTTTGATGATGTGCTAATTCGGTTATTCTTTCTTTCAGGATTACTTTTTGCCATCGGCCTTTCCAAAGCAAGTGGTTGTACATAGGCACAGAGCGAGGCAATGTGCATATAGTTAATATTGAGTCTTTCATTCTCTCGGGGTATGTTATAAACTGGAACAAAGCAATTGAACTGTGAGTACCTTTTATTTCTTTTTGTATTCAATGATGGAATCGTGTTATCTTAGAATTATGGCTTTTCAGACACCTGTGAAACAAGTATTCACGCATTCCAATCCTATCTATATGGAAGTCCCTGAAAGTTCTTTTCTGTTCATAGACTCCATAAAGATCACACAATTATATCACAGAGCTGGTGATTTAACTAAAGTATTGCTGATGGGATAATGCACTTAAATTTACCGTCTCATCACTGTTGAAACAGGTTTTACTAAGTACACATTAAAGTGTAAAGTTGGAGGAGTTGCACTGATAGACTAACTTTGCAACAAACTAAGCCCCATGAGCTTTGAAATCTGTGGGAATTGTCAGACACCATTGGTCGTATTCAGCTAGTCCATAGCTCATCTCAGACGAGTGGTTCATGTAAAATAATTAGAACAGGGGATAAAACAACCTGTCCATCTAGATTGTTACTCGTCTCAGACTAACGAATTAGTATTCGTGTCTGATTGGTTTTTCCTTGTCAATAGCGTATTGGCTTGATAAGCAGCAGACGTTCCGATCATTAGTTCATGTTTTGACATCGGAAGTGTTGTTTGTCCAGCTTATTTCGGAAGAAGTATTGTTTGTTTAGCTTATGCTGAGCGGTCATGTGTTGGGTAATCGCGAGTATGGCCATTGGTGGCTCCTTGACCAGTGAACCACTGGCCATTTGTCCTGCTTAGCGAGAAGGAAGGAGACAAGTAATCAGTGGACAAATGATCTCTGTCACTGTTGCTGATGTGTAGGCATTTGTTTTGCGAGGCCGAATTACCCCCAGATGGGTTCATTTTCCAGGACATCAGCTTTCCTGGAGGTTTTTTTTGTGGCAAACATGTGGTGGACATTTCTAAATTTGATGCATCAGTGACCAAAACAATGTCCTTTGCAACTGAATAATATATTCCCATGTTATTTTTAAATAATCGAAACCCATGAAGATTCTGGTTAGAATTAGTCTTCACCAATGCTTGTTGTAAACTGGGACGAACAGATCGGGTGGTCAGGCTCGCTGACACATGTCATCGTATCCCAAATATGTAGAACGATGCTCATGATGTTGATCACTGGCTTTTCTGGCCCAGACTTTTTTATTTACAGACTGCCGCCATATAGCTGGAATATTGCTGAGTGCAGCATTAAGTAACAAACAAATACAAGCGTAACAAAAACAAAATCAAACAATTGACTTGACTTTACATGTGTTTAACTTTATGACGGATGCCACTGGTGGTGCAGGATATGGTCACCTTTCCATATCATCTGTGTTTGATAGTGATTCATAAACACATGGTCTTGATACATTTTGAATCTCAAAACTGCCTCTGCTTTTATCAGAAATTTCATGTTATTATAGAAAGGATTTTCGTCTTTTTATTTTTCAATTTGGTAATGATACTGAAATGTGTTATCAAAATTTTAAAATATAAAATTATTGTCACATGATTTCAATTTGGTAATGATACTGAAATGTGTTATCAAAATTTTAAAATATGCAATTTTTGTCACATGATTTCAATTTGGTAATAATACTGAAATGTGTTATCAAAATTTTAAAATATGAAATTTTTGTCACGTGATTTATCTCGGCATATACAGTATTTCTCTCAAGCAATATCTATATGTCTGGCAGTGAGTTGGTTGTATAAGCACTACATATATAAGTATGAGGTTATTTTGGCCATCCTGAGGAACACTTGAGCACGATAGTGGAGATTGATTTGTGAGTGGCTAAATCTCCCCAAGAAAGGAGAGGTCATTGTTCAGATCAGAATAAGCATTACTGCTGATGGTCATGTACAGCAGTTTCTAAGTGGCGATTCACAGAGAAATGATATCAATGATGGATGCTGTAATCTGTTTTTCGACTCGATGTAGATTTATCAATATGTGTCAGAGGTGAGATTTTAGTCTGAAAATTGCTATCACGAGTCATGGTAATTGACATCTCGGTGTGAATAAGACGCGCCTAATTTCAATTCATTAATCGCTGATTTCATTTAGCAGCCTATTCCCTAATCGTAGGTTTCACTTAGCAAATGACGGCCGGATAGGCCATGAAGGTCATCCACAACCTGAAGGATCATCATTAGATTAAATACCTTCACTTACTTCATTCTTTGCGAGGTTTTGGTGTAAGAGAAGATCACCAAAACACAGATCCCATTGCTGCAATTTTCAATTGGTATTATTGGTTCTAATGAAAAACAGTCTTTGTGGAACTAAGCTTTGGTCTCAGTATGTCATGGAGAACATTAATCATGCTTATGATATTTCGGTCAGTCTCCATCTTGTTCCTAAACACCACTTGAGTTTCCATCTCTTCCATCAGCTTCAGTGTGTGAGCAGCTTGGTCATGCGACTCGGCTGGCTTCTTCTGGATTTTTTTTTAATGGAAATTTGCCTGGAAATAACCAATGGAAACATCTTTGCCTTTACAAAAGTTCACTCTAAGACTTGTTTTGGGACTTTTTCTGACGTGTATCACAGCTGTGGAAATTCTTTGACTTCTGTTATGGTTTTGTAAAAACAATGTTCTTTGAATTCTTGGCTTTGTTATGGGACTGGGTAAGTGGAATTGTATTGGGTGATTTGAGGAAGAAACATTCTGTATCTCAAGGGCAAGTGAAGATGATAAGAGTCCTTGTGTCTTATCTTGTTGAAAACTGAAAAGGAAGATGGAGAAAAAAACTTTGTCTGTCGATAAAAAACATGATCCATCTAGGTATCTGAAAGTTGAAATAAGAGATCAAGATGGTATATTTTCAGATAAGAACATCATTTTTTTCAAAAGACACTATTTTTAGTAGACCCAAGGAAGTTTGATTTTCGTTTTAGTTTTTAGCCATAAAACATTTCCTCCTGAAGCGTGATCATATCTTCTCAAGTGAAATCGTTTCTTATACTGGTCTGGTGGAATATTTACTTCATTGACATATCTGTTTAAAAGCAGATATGTAGCTGTAGTGTCTGATATAGTTATATGTGTTATAACTGTGTTATAACTAACATGTGTTATAACTTATATAGCTATTGTGTGTTATAACTGTGTTATAGCTAAAGTGGGTTATAATGTTATAGCTAACAGGTGTTATAGCTAAAGTGGGTTATAATGTTATAGCTAAAGTGTTATAACTGTTATAGCTAAAGTGGGTTATAATGTTATAGCTAAAGTGTTATAACTGTGTTAGAGACAAAGTGCGTTATGTTATAGCTAACAGATGTTATAGCTGTGTTATTGCTACCATGTGCTATAAATGTGCAGTGCTGTAGCCAGAGTGCATAATTGCTGGATTCCCACTAATTGTACTTATCTTGGTGCTTTATTTATAAATGTTTGCACCAACAACGGCGCAAATTCATAATTTATAGCGTGTTTTTATATGTAATTTCAAAATATGACTATTTTCATTGAAATCGATGTCAAACATTCTGAATTCAAAATCAAAATATTGAAACACCTGGAATTTCAAAAGAGGCTTCTTAAGCTCTGCACATTGCTAGGACACCTATTTGCATTCAAAACTGTAATATTAAATCACTGTAAGGAGCTCGTTACTCGATTACAGAGTTTATTATTGAATCTTTTTGGCTGTCAAAATGCCAAGGAGAAGGATTACAGATTTTTTCACTTTTGGTTATTGGCCCATAGTTTCTAAAGGTAAGGGCCAATAGACCGATCCAGTCTGTCAATCAAAACTGGCGCATGCGTCAATTTTGGCCAATCAGCAGGCCGGGCGCGCAGTGTGGATTTGTCAGACTTATTTCCGGGGTCAAACGATGCATCCGAAGCGATGTGCTTCGAATTATGCCATTTACACTCGCTATATTTATTACATATTGCTGCGATTTGATGTGTACCTTAACAAAACCATTACGGTCAAGACAACAAAAATGGAGGCGGATCAAGAAACGCAATAGGCCTAACGATCAGTTATATGTCTGCACCATCGTTCAGGAAACCTACGCCTGCCTGCTGATGAGAATTTGCACGAATTTCCACACTTTTGCACATGTGCAAAATCATTACCAATTGATGACAACAAATAGCAGTTTAAGACTTTGCAAGTGTTATAAACACGGACAATTCTTGTAACTACAAAATTGTTTTTGCTTAACGTTTTTAGTCACTACTAGGCATTGAGTTGGTAATGCCATAAAGCTCAAATGAGACAGGCGAGAAAAGCCGTGACACAATGTAAACAAATCTTTATTTCGGTTAGGGTCAACCGAAATAGCAAAACTTGTTACATGAAAGAACAATGTGGCGGATATTGTCCCCTTCGGCTCTTAGATATTCTTCAATTTGTCACACATTTTAGGATGTTTTAAGTTTCATAAGCACAATCTGAAGGCCTACAGTATCTTGTTAACAGAGCAAAATATTCGAGGAGTAATATTTTTTATTCAAACGGAAATATTGTCAGTGTCAGCAGTTGCCTATCATACAATATCCAAGTATCAAAATTAGTTCATATGAGTGCCTATAAAACCATGCTTTAAATATTTCAGATTTTTTATAAAGAGTTGCATGGGACTTTGAACTGAATTACCTTCCTCCATGTTGATTGAATACTGAAAACTATGTGAGAAGAATAGTGACTTTCTGGAGTATTGGACGGAGTGAAATAAAGTGTTTATCTTAATTATGAGTACATTACTGCAGTATTTGAAGTTTTGTTGCCACATAAATTATTCACATATAATGGTACATTTTAGGAGTAATATTACAACTGTAATTTTGATTAATTCACTGGAAATGATAGCAAGGTATGTTTTAAGAATCTTGCTTTTTTTGTAAACGTGGAAGGGTAATAAAATTAATAATAATCTAATCAATAATCAATAATAAATAATTATTTAATTGATTGACATATCAGATTTTTTTAGATTTTAAGGCAGAACTAGGCAAACAAACACCATACATATCATGGCAGGACAATCACTTAGTATTAACTTGGCTCCTGCTTTTACATGTTTTTTTAAAATACTACATTTACTAATAAGATAATTCTGAAAGTGATTGCTAGTATCATAACTCATTAAAGTTATTTCAACATCCAGAAAATTTGAAAAAAGCAAACGCTCGTTTTGATCAAACCCTGGTCAGTCATTTTCCAGTCCTGGAACAGAATAACTTACAAAAATCACAGGTGACTTTTCATGTAACGGAATAAAGATTGAAACATATATTTAACCCATATTTGATGTAATTCTTCTGATAAATCATAACGTTTTTAGGAGGTTACTAATATTTGAAGACTGAGCCAAAGCTAGTGTTTATTAAGATGGTGGATGTGGACAAATTGTTCAAGGTTTGTTGATGATTATTTGCAAAATGAGCTTCATATTAAATTGCACACTGGTTTGTAGGAGGTGAACGCTTCAGGACATTTTCATGTCTGTTTTCCTAAACCTTTGTTATGACTTTTACCAAATTTTGAATCAACTTTACTATAATTTTTATGACACCAGTAAGTATCTCAGAAATGGAAATAGATCAAAATCAGTGTTATGTCCTCTAGGGATGTAATCTCGGATCTAATAAAACAAAGATTATCATTGTTCAATTAAGAAGCAATAATGTCAATATGTAATTGTATTGACAGAAGGCTTTGAACATAAGATATATTCTTTGCACCTTATTTACACTAGTAGTTAGCAGTTAAACATCTCTGATGAAAAAAACAATAGATCTACATTTGTATTTTGTGTACCATTCTATTTCAATGCTAGTTAATTGTTCGGATAACTGTGGATTCTCTGTTCCATTTGCATCACATGTTTCCTATTTCTGGAAGATGGGTCAGCTAGTGTACAGGTGCAGACTGTATCTTGGATCTTCTTTGTGTTCTGGTGCTGTGACATACCTGTACATAAACGCTGGCAGTTCATGAAGTCCAGTATTATGGAAGTTTGTATGTAAATAAGGATTCCACAACAAAGTACATATAGAAAAAATAAATGGAAATGATGATTAAAAAAATGATTTCCTTATATTCAGTGTCATTTTATCATGGTGTACATATTTTGAAGAGAGAAACGTTACTGAGAGTTGCTGCAGATCAGCTGTTGAATATTTGCTTCTGGGTATGTCCAGATACGTCCATGGAAACATATTGTTTACAAGCTCAATTACCTTTTCCATATTTCCAAATTAGATCAAATAGATTATGCTGTGATTGATTTGTTTACATTAATTGTACAGACAAATAAGGGGCATGAAGTAGTAGACGGGAAATATTTTCTGTTTTTATTTACCATTCTCTTAATTCATTAAAAGATAAAACCCCATGTTTTCAGATTATTGAACTAAATTTGAACAGCGCCCGCAGCGCAGTGTTGATAATCTATTTATAGATACCGAAAGATCTGCAACATGAACATGTGGTTGTGTTCCACGAGTTTTAAAAATTATAAACCCAAACAACAAAATTCAGTTATCCTTCCCCTGCTAATATCTGTGGACGGAGGTGAATTGCCAGATAGATTAATTGATTCGAAGAAATTACGCTTCCTACAGTCTCAGCAGCTAGTCGAGGGCAGCTTTTTCATCGGGCATGTAACTCATTTTCACCCGCCAGTTGTAATCTGCCAGCTAAAATATATATAACTATAACTTGCCTCTTTGAATAACATTCACAAACGACGGATACCAAAGTATCACAAGCAGAATTCATCAACAACGTTCGCAATCACGTAACGTTTCGCCGGCGGTGACGCCATTGTGATTTGCTAGTGGTTGTCCCCCCTAACGTCAAAAACGAAGTGGCCGGGGCTTATCGGCCGGGACTGGATCGGTCTATTGGCCCTTCAAAGGAAATCCTGGCTGCAGCACTGTATGTGTTATAGCTAACATGTGTTATAACTGTGTTATAGCTCCTTTGGGTAAAAAATGTGTTATAGATAACATGTGTTATAACTGATATATAGCTGATATTTACCTGTGCCGTATTTATGAAAATTAATTGTGTGGCTCATATATTGCTGAAATTCACCAGACACGTCTCTCGTGTCTCTTCTTGCCAAAGTTTGTGTCACCTTACAAGAAAATGACAGTAAACTTCCTTGGTCCCTATTTTCAAGTATGAAACATTTAGGTATGTGCTTTTGTAATAATCACTCCCATTTTCCATTTCAGGTCTCGGAAAACACACCCAGGGCCAGTAGTGCATCTCAGTGATAACCCAATAGATGCTAGCAAGGTAAGTTGTGTACAACACAGTGTGTGGAATAGCCTGCTAGCCCGTGGCTTGTAAAAATCCAGTTGGGCCAGTAAATCTCCAGTCACTGGCCCAACTGGTCTAGTGAAATTTCATGGGGTAATTTTGTAAATATATCGCTCTCTCCGACTTGTTAAGTTATAATACACTGTTAAATCATGCAAGATTATGGCCTGATAAAAATGTTCATCATATTCGCAGCCATTTAAATTTCAGGCTAGTGAATGATTTTATGGGCTAGTAACTTTAAGGCATGGCTAGCAAAATTTAGAAACTATATCGCACAGTGGAATAACACAATAGTTCCAGTTTGATCAGTAAGTACCCTATGCCTGGCTTCAGAGGCACTGTAACATAGAGAGGAGGTGGTCAAAATGGTTCCTGAGCTAATAATTACGTTTAAGTTATCCTCTCACGTAGACTAACGCTTACTGGTAGTCTCTGAATATATGAAATTTTTATTGTAACAAATAAATCCATTTAAATTGAAAAGGAGCCCCAGGGAGACCAGAGATTCAGAACCTGGGGAAATCTACACTTGCTTCATGTAGGGCTATAGCATTGCAGGGATGGCTAGGCTGTAGGGAAAATAATATGGTTCGGGTACTGTGAGACAGACTACCTCTCATGTAACACCTGGGGCGGTGGGATAACCTAGTGGTTAAAGCGTTTGCTTGTCATGCTGAAGACCAGGGCCTAGATTTTCGAAGCTCTCTTAACGCTAAGATAGTCGTAGGTTAATATTAATGTATGGCACTTACGACTATCTTAGCGCTAAGAGAGCTTCGAAAATCTAGGCCCAGGGTTTTATGCTCTGCATGGGGGCAATGAGTGGAACCCATTTCTTGTGTCCCCAGAGGTGATATTTTGGTGGAATATTGCTAAAAGCAGCTTAAACCCATACTCGTTAGTAGTGTCTTAGCCTTAGGTTTATAGTTCCATTCCCCACATGGGTACAATGTGTGAATGCCATTGCTGGTGTCCCCTGCCACTATATTGCTGGAATATTGCTAAAAGCGGGCGTAAAACTAAACTCACTCACTCATAGGACCCAAATATGTGAATTGATGATCATACCATTAGTCATTTGTTCACATGTCCAGGACGTCCTACTTGTATGATGGTGTAGTTTTGCTTGTGGTATAACATGAGATTTGCGACTGTGTTGATGATGAGAAGATTAGACATGTCGGAGACACATCATGAGTCACAGTCTGGCAGACTGACTCACTCCCAGATCCATCAACAAGTGTGTTACTTTGTAGTTCAGGTATTGATGAACGAAGGTGTCACCGTTGTCTGATAGCCTACTTGCAAGATTTGTGGTGTAAGGTTTACCTGACTGTGTCTTCATTCATGGCCATGTCAAGTATTATTGTGGATAAAGAAATGAAAATTTAGAGGAGTTTTAAAAATAAGTGTCTGACATTGACAATTGGAAGTGGGAGTATTGGTAAGGCTTGTTTTGGGATGTCCAAGGGTCATTGAAACCTGCCCCTACAATGTTTAGATCGAGGCATCCCCACAAGCTTTAACTTTCAATGAGTGAGTGAGTGAGTTTAGTTTTACTCCTCACTCAACAATATTCCAGCTATATGGCGGCGGTCTGTAAATAATCGAGTCTGGACCAGACAATCCAGTGATCAACAGCATGAGCATCGATCTCTGCAATTTGGATACGATGACATGTGTCAACCAAGTCAGCGAGCCTGACCACCCAATCCCGTTAGCCGCCTCTTATGACAAGCATGGGTTGCTGAAGATCAATATCCTAACCCGGATCTTCGCGGTTTTAACTTTCAATGCCAGGGTTATGACAGTTGCCCTTGACCTTCATACACTGAATTTTGAAGTCTGCTGTGGATATGGACATGAGAATTTGAGGAAATATTGTTGATAATGAAATGCAAATTTGAAACAGAACTGTGGTCTAGAGCTTCTGAAAATAACCAGCATTCAGGTTTAGTGGAATCTTATTTAAACCACAGTTAACTCTTTTGGGGTTCCATCTCTAAGGGTTTAAATTTTTACTTATATGATTTTCAATATAGAAATGTACTGGACAAAACAGATTTTGAGATTTGTGGTAAAAGGTTACACATTTATTGGGGGCATGGGTTTCCCAGTTGAGTTTGGGTGCAATGTTTGAAGCCCAGTTCACTCACTCACTCACTCACTCACTCGTTCGATCCCCGCCTGCGTCATACCATAAGACGTTAAAATATGGTACTTGTTGGTCCCTGTCTGGCGCTTGGCATTAATGGGTACAACAAGGACTGGTCGGCTCGGAGTCAGTATAATGTGTCTGAGTTGGGTATTCATGCTTCACTGCGGCATGGTATTACAGTGGGCTAGAACTATAAAACCAGCTTCAGTCTGGGCTAGTACAAGCAGCCGCACATACACATACACAGGCATGCAAGTCGTCATATGAGCGAAATATTCTCAAGCACGACGTTAAACCCAATTTCACCTCATCTCAACTCACTCACTCACTCACTCACTCACTCACTCACTCACTCACTCACTCACTCACTCACTCACTCACTCACTCACTCACTCACTCACTCACTCACTCACTCACTCACTCACTCACTCACTCACTCATCACTCAGACTTCATGACCACAGGCTTTATTCTCACATTAAGCTGTGGTATAAATGGGATACTGTTCAAAGTGGTGTTAAACTCACTCACACATCACTCAAAAGCATTTTGAATACTGCAGATTAATTTCATATCACATCAAGTGAATAAATTTAATTTTCAAGGACTTGCCTGCACTTGAGTGAACTATATATGACAGACAGGCTATCAGTGCAGTGTGTCATATGCTTCTCAAGAAGATTCCACAAGTCTTCAGTCTATTGGATTCCTTTGTCAATAAATGCATTAAGGTTTTTGACATTTTAACAGGTTATGACTTTGAACTAAACATTTTGGTCAAATATGGTATTTTATTGACTGTGGCATTATGGTTTCTTGGTCTAAAAAAATGTTTTATTTAATTTTCGACTTGTCTGACGTCTTTTGCTTGTGAGAATATGATGCCCAGTGGTTATTTCAGCAGAACTCGCCAGCTGGTGGCTGGTGATGCAGTGAAGACGATACTTAGCAAATCCTGAAATTGTGTAATGATGCAGAAGCTATTTTAAAGCTATCTCTACAACATATCTTTTCATCACACCAGACTGAAACTGATGTGAGCTTATGTCATGCTCTCTTTTAGTTGTGTTCCTATTATTTGAAATGATCGAAGATTGGTTGCAGTGACCAAACGACCAAGTAATCGATCACATTTTCTCATAATCGAACACAAACGATTTTGTCACTACGGTTATAGTGTTTGAAAACTTGATGATGGAACATATCTTAGAAGTTGTCAGGGCCTGTAAACTTGTTTAATTCTTAGGAAATTCACTTCACTTACTGAAAAGTCTTGACTAAATATTTCTTGAAGACACAAGGAAGTTTATGTTCATGAGATATTAGTCATCACTTTAAAGCAACATTTACATTGGATGTGAAATTTGCAAATTCAATTTGCAGTTTCTATATAAAACAAAAACAACAGTGAACCACATTATACTTATCTGAAATAACAACCTGAATAGGAAAATAAGAAAAAATGATGCCAAACAATTGTTTTTGGATAAATGCCCTTTGGTAATGAACATATTATCAATTGTGATATTTCAACCAATTCCCAACACTGCTCTTTTTGTCCATTGTGTTGACCATTTTAAACACCTCCATTCATAGCTACTCACTTCTTTCCGTGACCAACAAGAAGACTTGTACCTGTATCGTACGCCATTTTGTCAAGAATCGTGACAAACTAATCAAATCGTGTAGTAAAATGCATTTCGGAAGCATGAAAATGGCGGCACCATTGAACTTTGAAACTTCGCTAAACCATGCAAAGCACAATTCAAACATAAACTTTGAGCTAAAGGATCAGCAACTTTAACCAAAGAAACATCTTTACCAAGGGAATGACTGTTTAGCTGTTTTGTCCACGATATATGGGATATTCTAGCTGTAGCCATGTTTGGAAATTCAGAGTTCTTCCTTGGAAATAGTACTAGACTATTTCCATCTCCATGCCAGTTTGCGCTTAGACAAGGCCCAGTTGAGAACATGGTCACGAGAAGGGTACGAGTCCACATCCAGCTTGCCGGAATGACACAAGTAGTTACGAATGCACCTTCCCATTAGAAAGTATACAACCAATACAGGAGACACATCACATGCTTGTTCCCAGTTATTCCACGAAAATTAGTTCAGGAGGCTTAAGCCAGATTTTCAATATGGCCTCTATGGCAGCCATATTGATAAACCTATGAGTGAGTGAGAGTTTGGTTTTACGCTGATGTCAAAACAGTGTCTCACGTTGCAGATACCTCAACATGAGGTGAGAGGTTACACATGAATACACAATGTCATTTAGAAAGTGATCCTATTAAACATCTCATCTTTGAGTGAGTGAGTTTACTTTTATGCCGCGTTTAGCAATATTCCAGCAATGTCACAGCAGGGGACACCAGAAATGGCCTTCACATATTGTACCCATGTGGGGAATCGAACTATAAACCTAAGGCTAAGACACTACTAAGTCACTTAATCACAGGGTCAAGTTCGATTTCCGAAAGTGTCAGTTTGTTTAATGAAGTTATTTCGTAGATTGAAAGCAATCAGTGTGTATTTGTAGAAGCCTGAACATCACTGCAAATACGAAACTGACATTTGCGACACAATTTCCCCAAAAACATACCGCTGACGATGGTCTACGACAACAAGACCACACAAACTGGCTTTGTATCAAAATCCTTGAGATTATTAATCTGTCAGCATGCTCCCAATGTACACATTATCTGCAGATAAGAACTGTTTATGCTCCAATTTAATCACAGTTATTGTGTCGATGAACATTGAGAAAATGTCACAACATGTTGATGGACTAAACCGTGTCGAGCAATGAT